GCGAATGATTCTAGAACTTCCAAAACTGAACTAGTGCCATCTGTTGCAAACATGCGTCATGACTTTTCCGACAACCCAATGAATATCTCCTTCCCTAAAACAGTGTTAATGACGGATTTCTTTTGAAGTATGTATTATAATATTATTTTGCCTGCAGTATGGTACCCTTTAAAGCTAGACAAGGAGACTAAAATCATTAAAGAGAGAAACAAAACATTATGAAATCACTAAGTGTGGTTAAGTGTTATAGTTTTACTCTACTCAAGGTCTGAGTATGCTTTTATTGCAAAAAGCACTACTGTACTATGAATTTTAATTATTTCAAGTTACTAGTATGTCATAATAGAGATAGCAGTTCTTGCATTAAACAAAGTACCTCTCTCTCATTTTCTCTTTTAGCGTTGCTCTCTTTTCTTTAGTGAATGTGAATTAAATCATATCGTTCTTCATTTCTTTCAAAATTCACTAAGACTGGTGTACTATTTTGTAACCCAACATCAACTATAACACAAATTCACTTCTATACATCCTAAAAGAAGAATAACCGTATCTAATGTATGGTTTGGTGCTGCACGTTAGTATCCCTCTTTCTTCTTAATACCCTGAAATCAGGTAGGTCACAGTTGAAAGAACTTGGGATGTAAGCTAAGCTTTAAATGTAGTATCAGTAAAAGCATATCTCTCATGTCTGGTCAAGAGACAAACCTTATTTGTAGCAATTCACATTCTCAGATGACATATTTCTTTTCTTCTGAAGTGCACTGCTATGATTTTTGTATGTTAGTTAGGTAAGTGGTTAAAGTGTCATAATTTGACGTGTACATGAGTTAACTCTACTAACAGTTACAAACTAAGCTTTAAACTCAGCTGCCATTCTTTTAAATCTGTGCCCAAGATTACAAATATGTGAGATTGTGGATGACTCTTCTAAGTTCATCGCCACAGCTAAAAATAATTCAAAGTGAATTCATACTAACAATGTATAAATAAATATATTTGAGAACAAAAGATAGTATGTTGGTATTAATAGCAATGTCTACTAACCAGCCGTGTGTTTAGAGTACAAATGATTTAACCAAAGGGGACTTTGTTTTGTTTATTCATTTCTTTTGTTTTTTATTAGAAAATTCAAAGGTGGATCAGAGATATGCTATGAAGCTCAATAAATTTTTCAAATGCACTTGTACTGAGTATATTAATTAAAGAGGCATTAATTTACTCATTTCACCATTTCAAACAACTAGAAATAAGCTGCCAACAAGTTACTATTATCGCATTTGACCAAGGAGGAAACAAACCCAGTCACCACCAGTACCTCTGACCATAATATAAAATAATATAAAACAGATGTTTCAGACAGATGGTTCTCAAATACTTGACCCACTAGCTCTAATCCAGTAAAACAAATGCAGCACGCCTGCTAACATTGTGGCATAAGAATAACAAAGTATGAAGTTAGTGTTTGGCTTTGTCTAGAAAATTGTTATTGTGACTAAAAATACAGGCAGGTACTCCAAGACACCAAAATAACGAAGAATTATTTCATTCCTGAGTTACTACTGGGTTGTTGGAAAAGTCATGACACATTTTTGCAATGAAAAACATAGAAAAAATACGTCATGACTTTTACGGCAACCCAATATTTCTGTGGCATTAATTTGTGACAGCAACTATAAGTACACAGTGATTCCTCCGTGGCAGACAAGCCAGGAAAGTCCAGTTTATTAAAATCCAGGAGCTTCTGCTCAGTCACCCGTCCACTTCTGCGTGGGCAGGGCATCCTGAAAGGGCTACCTAGCCCAAATGTGCACACATGGCAGAGAGAGCGCACCATCTGTTTCATGGTGTTCAAACCATGACACAGTTCAAAACATCACAATAGCAACAAGGGCCAACTCACAGCAGGAGTACTTCTAAAAAAGGCATTTACACTGACAGGAAGTGTTAAACAAGCACCTATTCACTAATGAAAGAGATGAAGACAGTGTCGATTCTGATCTTTTATTATAGTCATTTATGAATGTCTATGTCCTCTTTGCGAGTGAAGCGCATTGTTCAGGAGGGCACTCCTGTCCAAATCATCTTGTGGTCACACAGTTATAAACAAATCTATGAGATAGGAAATACACGCTTCTGAGAGTAAAAGCATATTAAACCCAGCATAAAATACATTTAGCTAAGAAATCCGCCTGCATGAGGAGACAGGTCTGGGGAGTGTGGCCACTTGGGATCCCCTGGTATCTCCCTGGTTGAGATGGATATTCTCAAGATATTCTTGAGAAAGAGACAGAGAAATATGCGTGAATTGACAGAGTAAGGGGTCTGCGATACATTGGAAGATGTTTATGGTAGAAAGACACAAAACACTTCTATCAATGACTCCCTAAATTTAACCCAGAAATCCAAACTGAAGAGAGGTTTGGCTTTCAGAAAGTATGGACAATCTTTTTTCACACTCTTTTTTTAAGAACAAATAGAAAAATCATGAGAAGAAAAAAATTAACACAACATCTATTTGAAGACACTGGTAAACTACCAAGGCAGCAAAAACTTGTGTTAAAGACCCAAAAGGTAAAGCAAGCTCATAGTCATGATCCCGACTGTGCCGTTTCTCCTTTTGAGGCATCTGCGTATGCAATAGAGACTAAAAAGTTGGGAGAATGCAGTGGCTGAGAGGCCTGAGATACAGAAAACTAACTACTGGCAGGCCCATTGAGCAGAGAGGCTTGGGGACAGATTTGGAGCTCAGCTTCCATTAAGCATAAAGGGTTTTCACAAAACATCCCAGGAGTTCAATTGGGATTTTGAAGAGCTTTGCCCAAGGAGAAAAGGTAAACTGGAACTAGACCCACTCTTAGAAAAGGAATGAAGCCCCGATTTCAGACAGCTCAAACCTCGACTGAATTAAAACGATCTGCCCCGGCCTAATCACCTATAAGAAGTTAAAAACTAAATTGTCTCTGAAGGATAAGACGATCATCCAAAACCTCAAATTCTCTTTATACGTTTTCACACATAATATGTGGGCTCTTAATAAAAAGTAAGCAGCTATAAGAAGTCAAATATTGATTAAAAATCAAAACCATTCTTCAGAACATGCTGAAGAATCCAACATATAGAAAATTTAGATATTGTGTTAATCAAGACATGTAATTTAAGAACTGTGATTCTTTTGTTTAAAAAATTATATATCAATGCTCAGAATTTGAGTATTGTAACTAAACACAATATAAAACAATCAAATAGAAATTTTAGAACTGAACAGTACACAGTGGAATTAAGCTGGAATCAATAATAAAAGATAATATAATGACCAGCTATTTAAAAATTAAGCAACACACTCATGTGAGAAATCATAAAGAAGTTGGAAAAGTTAGAGTATTTTTTTAACAAGAAAAAAACAAACAGAAGTTTATTAACATGTGTACCTTATGTATACAAGAGAAATGGGGGGGGGTGCGGGGGGAATGTGTCATTCTCTGAAGTGGCCTGAGGGGATGGGGTATGTAGGTCTCTCGGGGGAACGTAAATGATTTGGGGGAAAAATGAATGGGCCCATATGAGAATAGATGGAAGATATGAGGGTTTGTGACGAAGTTCCTCTGGGTATGGTGTTCACTTCCAGTCTCTCCTGTGATAAGTCAACCATCCATCCCTAGTTGATGAAACTCCCGGTGAGGGGATTTATGACAACTGAAGTTCCTCTTGGAGGATCTGTCCTTAGTCAGATAAGGGGAGTTCAGAGAAAGCCTCTCTCTGCATTTGCTGTTTTTCAAGTGTCTACAGCTCAAAATACATGATCAATATACTAAAGTGGCATACTTTGGGGTAGCATATTATGCCACCCTTGAGTAGCATGTATCAGAATCTCTTTCCTTTTTAGTTAGAAAGTATTTTGAACTGATTGATAACAAAAATACAAAATTCAAAACCTGTGGGATATAGGCAAAAGCCATGTGCAGGAAGTAATTTAGGGCTCTAAGGGCAGATATTAAAAAGTAAGAAAGGCTCAAATTGTTTGTAAGTATTTGTTAAAGTTGAAGCTATGAATATTTTTTGACACAGAAATTTCACTCCTAATTGCATAACAAAAATGTGTACATATGTGCACCAAAAGACATGTATAATAGACAGTAAAGCATAAGTTTTAATTATCAGACATTGGAATAAATTGTAATGTTCATCATTAGTAGAAGACATAAAGAATTTACGGTATGTACCCAAAAGTGGAATGCTTTACAGCAATAAAAGTTTATGTGGACAAATCTCAAAATGTTCTTGAGCAAAATAAGCCATCAAAAAATACATGTGGTAGTATTCCAGTTTTACAAAGTTCAAAGCAGGCAAAAAATTAACCTATAGTGTTGATGAGACCAGTATTATCTTTAGAGAGAAAGACAATGAGGGGACACAAAGGGGGGCTTCTGGGGTCATGGTGATAACCTATTTCATGACGTAGGTAATGGCTGTATGAATTTACTTACTTGAACAGTCTGTAAGACTCCAAAAATCAAGGATAAACAAGCTCTGGCTTTAATAGCAGTTTGGTCAAAAAGACTTAGGGCAAAAATCAGGAAATAACCCATGAGAAAGTGTGAGAAGCTAGTGAAGTTTGATCTAGAAAAGGAATGGCTTGATGTTGCAAATCATGGACATCTTTAAATATTGGGCTGTCTGATTAAGGAGTAACTAAGGCTCAACTCTGAAAGACATATTTCAGCACGATAAGGGAAAGAAAGTGATGGAGATTCAAATTTTGATTCAATATACTAACTACAAATAGTAACACTGCCTAATAATGGAACACACTCTGTCTCAATAACAAGAACAATCTCAATCACTGAACAAGTTCTAACAGAGGCAGAAAGACTGTCTATCGGGAATAAGTGGAGGAGGTCCCTACATTGAATGGAGATGGCAAATGACCACTAAAGCCCCTTCCCCGTCTTCAGAGTCTATGCATATGTTGAATATAGAACCACAATTTAAAAAAACCTTACCCTTAATCGCGTAGTGGAGATCTCAGCTTTTAAAATATCAGGATCATATTTAGTACTAGATGAAGATCCTGAAAACACTTTTCAAAGAGAAAAAAGAAAAACAAGGTTGCATAACTAGTTCTTAGCTTAGAATTTACAAACTCTAAAAACAACAAGATTTACATGCTTCTGTGGATACTTACTTACTTTATAATTCCTTTATTGTCATTCATCAGACACCTAAATATAAAAAGTAATCTTCAAACCTTTATCATTGTTTTAAAAAACTCAAGAAAGAAAAATGTCATAAAGACCCTGGTACTCAATTTTCTTCTGAATTTTATACTAGCGTATAAAATCTTAGAAGACCTTATTACAGATACTGTTTATCGGAGCTTTGCATTATCGAGAAACTTAATTTAGGTAGAATTTCTGAGTCCATCATAGCTGCTTCTTTAAACAAAGCCAGCTCCATCCATATAATCAGGTTTTAAGATGAGAGAGGAGTAAATCAACTCAGGTGGTCAACAGAAACTTCACTCTAGCTAATAGTTCCAGATCCTGCCCACTACAGATAGTGAACAAGAGAAGCAAAAAGGGCTAAATTATTTGCCTTGATCTGAAAAGGTAAAAATTAACTAATAAATAAATAAAAGGCAACCAGGCAGAGGGAGGAGTAAAACAGAAGGGATACGTAATCCCCAAATGAGGAGACTTTGATCTGGAATGAGGTCAAGGGGTTTTACTGAAAAATTTGTGGTGTGCCCGCCACCCCTCCCCAACCCCAATGGCTCTGAGGGACTCTTCCTGCCGAAGAAGGAACAGGACCCTCTCCACACAAACTCCACACAAACTCCAAGTGCCCTTCTGTTATTTACAATTTGGTCCCCAAGTCTAAAGTCTGAACAGCCACCTGTACTTACAGCTTGTGTGAGAACTTGACTTTTCCTTATAGGCATCATTTAATCGTACATATTCATCTAGGGCCAAAGCCAGTCTTTGCTCCTTCACGTGGTACAGCTCCTTTTGTGTCCGGAGGGCATCCTGGGCCACCGAGAGATAGTCCTTGAGCATTTTCTCCTGCTCCCCCCTCCATTGCTTTCTTGGATCTTCAATCTGTGTGGTTTCTGAAAATACATTAGGTGGGTTATTTTTTTATAAACTTAATTATGCTTTTGGGGGGAATATTTAAGCTTTAAAATCTCTGAACTCTGTTATATGTCCACAACAATAAATACAGAAACCAAGAGTAAATATTTTGAAAGTTTTATACAGTTATGGTATATCTATTGACTCTAATAGTAATACTGGGGACTACAGTTTGTATTTTCTCCCCCATTTTTCTAATAATTCAAATTATTATATTTTACAAAAATATCAGTCAGTCCATAGTGGATTAGAAATTTAAAAACAAACTAACACCGCTGGTCCTAGTTTGAGGACAATGCTTGAAGGCACGGTTCTTGGTTCTGCACTTCTGTGCATGAGAATCTCCTAGCGAGCTCTAAAAAAAAATCCCAGACCAATGAGAGTTTCTGTGGGTGGGACCCAGATGCTGGTAGGTTTAAAAGCCCCTCACTCACGTGATTCCAGTAAGCAGCCAAGACTGAGCGCTCTCACTCTGCCACATCTCAAACACTGCCTCCTCCAGGAAATTATTCAAACTGTCCGATCCTATACTTGCTCAGACTTGCCTACTGTGCCTCCCCCATTCCTCTCTTGGAAACCACAAGAAAGGCTCTGGCCCATGCCTTCTCCTCCACTCCCCTGCCTCCTCACTGACCTGGGTGCTTCCCCATGTGGCCCTGCGTGGTGTGGTGTGCCCTCTGCTCTTGGGAACTGTAAGTTATACAACTTCTTTTGATGACATTGACCTCTTTGTGTCATCACTCAGTCACCTCTATAAATTAAACCCAGTACAATCAGAACAGGTGGGTCATATGGGCTGGCCACTGTTATGACAATGAGAACCTGTCCTGACAAATTAGGATAGGAAAATTAATTTATTAATTTGCTGGAATGTCTAGTGGCATGTAATGTCTTCAACGTGCTTTGCATATGATTCTCAATCTTAATGTAGTCCATCTCAGTATTTCTGGTTGGTCCCAAGGGCTACAGTGAGTCAAAACCCAGAGAATGATATGAGGTGAACTGATGTGACCACAAGAATCTCTAGAGGTCAGGTTGGTTCTAATGTTCAATCTGGTCTCTAGGGATAAGGGATAAAATAAAGTGGCTCAGGCTGTGGAGCCTGGGTCCCCTTAGGGTCTAGAGAAGCCCTGGCTGATTGATAAAGGGGCCTGGGTCAGCCAGACACACCATAACCACTGCCCCAGACTTGGAGACTTCGCTTCTTAGTCACTGCAGTCAGTGAATTTTCTTTAAAGTGCTAAGAATTCTGAACATTAATTTTTAAAGATGTAAATATTTTGATATGCAAAAGAGGTATATCTCATGCAATTGTGGAGAAAAATATGCTAGAATCAATGTCTAAAGAAGAGGTGCAGGAGGGGACAGCCCTGGATGGACAGGCCCTCCAGCCAAGAATCTTCAAGGACGTCATCACGGTGGGGCAGCCGAGCCACGTGGGGACTATGAAGAATGGGCAGAGACCAGCCAACAGGAGCCTAAACTTCTCCATTGTAAATATTCATTATAACTCAGGTCTGGCTATCCAAAAATGTTACAGTTTTATATATATACTGCATGCAACCCGGCTCAAAGTACAGAACTTATCCCTCTAACAAACAGAACTTGACAATCTTAAAAAAAGTTTTCATAACTGTGGACCCACAATAATCCTCACCTGCTAGTATTCATGCCCTTAAATATGAGCTAGACCTTACGACTTGTTTCTAATGAACACAACAGTAACTAAGTGATGGGACATCACCTGAGACTAGGCTACAAAAGACTGTGACTGCCATCGTGCTCTCGCCATCTCTCTCCCTGGCTCTTGGCTATTTTGCTCTAATGAAGCAAACTGCCCTGTGTAAGCCATCCTATGGAGAGGACCACGTGGCAAGGAATGAGAGGGGCCACTGGCCAGCAGCCAGCAAGGAACTGAATCGTGCCAACAACCACATGGGTGAGTCTGGAAGCAGATCCTTCTCCAGTCACGCCTGGGGACAGCTGCAGTCTGGCTAACACCTTGAAGGATGCCGTGAAAGTCCTTGAGCCAGAGGATCTAGCTCAGTCTTGCTTGGATTTGTGACTCACAGAAGCTGTAAGATAATAAGTGTGTTTTTTTAAGCCACTGAGTTTTGGGGTAACTTGTTATATTGAGATATATAACTAATAAAATAACCAAAGAAAGAGAGAATACAAATTGAAAATGTATGGGAAAAACTTGAAATGTTTATAAGTTATAATAGTTATGGAAAGGTTTATACTCCCAGTTTTCTCTCTGAATATCTTTAGGGGTTTTATCTAATCATATTTCCCTACATATTGTGGAATTCGCATACGTTCAATAAAATACCTGCAGTTAAATTTTCACAAAACACTGAAAGTAACACATGAATAAAGTACGACAACAACAATAATAATAATAATAAACTACTAGCATTTGTTTTGAACAGATCAGCAGAAACGTTCCAGTAGACCGCCTTAAATACTGTGCACTACAGGAGATTCAGCAGGAAACAGTTCTGTTTCTGAAATACTGCACAATTCAAATACAGACTACAAAAGAGCGTTCCCAATGGAATCTCACAAGGCTTCATAAAGCAGGATTGTGCTTTATCTCCATCAGCTATATTTGCTGAATAGACTTGTGAAGAATATTTATTAAATGTAAATACTCAAAAAAAGTGTATTACACAAATGTGGTATTTTTTAAAAGACCTGGTGGCCTTGGGAGATCATTGTATTATAATTGCAACATAATTTGCATGTTATCTACTGTATGAAAGAAGTAATATAGTACTTAGTGTTAAAACGTCACATACCTCAAGGAATTCATATTCCAAAAGTTTTATAGATGTGAAACTTTATAGAGAACACATTGCGAGTTACAAGAGTTTTTCATGAAAGATAACATTCGACTCTTCAAAGGAATATTATTTCTGTCTATCGTGCATGTCTCTACTCTTCCTGCTGTGATCAGGAAGATGAATAAAAGAAATGTGAGTAACTTTCCTTATCTTCCTTTTCAGAAACTACCTGCTATGCTTATTAGTTTGTTACTTCTACAATTATTGACCACCTACCACATGTGATAGGAGAAAAAAGATGTTCAGGCATGATCCTTCCTTCCAAGGACTTATAAAACGTAAAAGAAATTGTGACACATGAATTAAAACAAAAACACAACTATTTTATGCAGTAGAAAGTGATATGAGCCTTGAGAAGAGAATGGTTAAATGGCATGGCAGTTTAGAGACATAGGGGTTTCCTCTGGCTGAAAAAGTAAGCTCCGAAGGAACAGGAGGTGACTAAATAGGGCTTTGAAGGGTTCCAGACAAGAGGCCCTTCAGGACCTAGCCCCTGTGTACTTCTCCAGCCCTCTTCCCCGCCCCCTCCACACCAGCCTTCAGCTGCACTGAATTTCCTTTCCTTCTTTCATCAAGCTCTGCCTTCTGTGGCCTCTCCAGGCCTTTGGCTTTATTTGTGGTCTTCCTTCTCCCAACCCCCAAACCCTTGTTCTCTAGGCCTGGTTAACTCATTCTTTGGGTTTTGGCTTAAAGACCCTTCTCTAACAGCCCAGCTACACCTTTCAGAATGGATAGGTTGCTTCTACTTGTTCTCCGTTCTTCTATTAGCGTGATGATGATTCTTTCCATATTCTATTATACTTTCTCATTTCTCCCCCAGTACTCCAAAGGGACTAGCCTACGGTTTCTTAATATCAGATTAATAGCTACTAAACTCATTTTGTAAGTAATAGTGTGCCACAGAAAGGTTATAAGCAAGTGCATGAAAAGATCTTAGCTGTATTTTAGGAAGATCATCTGAAGAAATGTGAGGTTCTACTATCAAAAGTTGATACAATTGTGCAGAATTTTCTTTGATGGAAGATTACACATTAAGTGAAAAAAGCAGTTTATAAAAAAAACAGTATGTGTAATATAATCATACCTGAAATATAAAATATATTTAAAACTCTGTGTGTGTGTGTGTGTGTGTGTGTGTGTGTGTGTGTGTCAATATGAAAGTCTAGGGCGGCTGGTTGGCTCAGTTGGTTAGAATGCAGTGCTCATAACACCAAGGTTGCCAGTTCGATTCACATGGGCCAAGGAGCTGTGCCCTCCACAACTAGATTGAAACAACTACTTGACTTGGAGCTGATGGGTCTTGGAAAAACACACTGTTCCTCAATAAAATTTCAAAAAAAAAATGGAAGGATACATACAAAAAGGTTTAGAATACTTAGATATCTCTGCGTTGTGTGACTATAGATACATTTTTTCTTCCTTTATTTACCTACATTTCATATTTTTCTCCTCTGCGCATCTATTACTTTCACAAAGTTTTGTTTTGTTTTTTAAAAAAGGAGAAGGAACAAAAGGCACAAGGTAGCGAGGGTCTGAATCAGGAAAACATCAGTGGAAAAGAGGCTAACAAAGCAAATTTGAGATTATGTTATAGAGAAATAATCAACAGGAATTGATGAGATGATTATAAATTTTTCAGTTGAGCAAGCGCAAGGAGTACGATGTTTCAAAAAATAATGAAGTCAAAAGGAAAACTGAAGAATCCCATTCATACTTATTTGTTCTAAAGTTTTGATAGCAACATAGGTAGCAGTGATGTTATAACTGGAAATGCTTGACCAAATATTAGGGCAAGCCAGAAATATGGACAGAAGTCATGTGCGTGGCAATGGCAAAGGAAAGGACCGTTGCAGATACAGCTGCTGGCGGACGAGGGTGAGGGCAGAGCTTGGGAGAATGACAAGATACAGGGGCTCACAAAAGGAATATGATGAGGCAAGCGAGGAGAGAAAGAAGGAACAGTCTGAAGTGAGAAACATAAGGTTCAAGATGAAATGCATGGGCACCTATGTCAAGTTGACATCCAGGAAGAAGAAAAGGACGACGGTGACTGAGAGGAGCCTCTGAATTTGACAACGATACAAAATTTGTAAATTATCACATAGCAGTAATACAAACTAACAATTCTTAATGTTACTATCACCATAATATGTTTTATTTGGGTATTTAAAGTACCTAAAATTCTTCTGTATAAAATACCTAAATTTTTTCTGTATGAAATACCTAGAAAAATATAAAGGATGAAATAAGACAGATGAAATAGGAGGGCCCCAAACTTATTTTCTTTCCTCTAAAGGAAACAACTCCATATAAAATATCAGATACGCTTGAGGGATTTTCATCAAACCTGAACATGTGTGTTGCTTCAAAGCTAATACAGAGGAGTTTGGAGTTCAGGGTAATATGGAGTAAGCACACACCACCCAATCTCTCCTGCTGATTACAAGTAAAAACCACGGACATAATACATGAAACAATCAAAGGAAGACTCTAAAAAGTAAGCAAGAGCAAGGAGGATTGCGGAAAGAAGGCAGAACTCACAGAATCATCTTATGGCGGTTGAGTTCCTATTTTGTTATTGTTTTATACCTCCCATATCCCTTGGATTTCCCATATCCTCTGGAACTGCAAATGCGTGCAGACAAAAAAGGTCCAAGACCAAACCCACTCTTCCTTGTAAGAGCACAGGGAGGGAGAGGGGGCACTGCAAGACAAAGCTACGGCCATCCCAGAGAAGCCCCAGGAACAAACGTCAAGCCCACGGCAGGCAACAGTGGTGTGCGGTGGTGGCTGTGGTGCTGGTGGCCGGCCATTACCGGCTGGCTTTCTCACTACTTAGTCCTAAGACATATGCAGTCATGAGAAGCATTCAGTGGTGGGAGAGGCTAGGCCTCTGGTTACCAACAAGAACACCAGAAAAAGAGGCTCAATGGAAGCCAGAGAGTATGGGGAAAGATGACAGAGAGGAGAGTTGAAGAAGTGTCTAAGTTTGCTGCCCATTTTTAAATTGGCTTGTCTTTTTAACGTTGATTTTCAGGAGTTCTTTATATGTTCTGGATATAGGTCCTTTGTCAGATATGTGTATTATCGATATTTAACCATGATCTTGTGTGTATCAGTTGTATATTCCTTAAAAATATGTTGAGTGAAGATTCTAGTCACGCAATCGAACTTATGTGAAGTTCTTGGACAGGAAAGAGGAAGCCGTGATGAGAGAAATCAGGACAAGGTGCAGCAGTGGAGAGGGGCAGGGAAGAACTTACTGGGACGATGAGCATATTAGGTATCTTGACTAGAGTGGCATTTACAAAGGATTATACTGAAATACACGCTTAAAATCTGTGCATTTTCTTATATATAAATGAGATCCCAATTACTAAAGGAAAGACAAAAAATTCAGGGTATAATTCTGACCCTATCAAAAAGTGATTTACTTCTAGTTATAGCGATAATATCAAAGCCTTATAAACAGTACTTCATAATTACCTTCTGGATAGTTAACATTCCCCCACCAATATCTATACCCCCACTCCACACACACACACTCTCTAAAAGGTGAATTCCATCGTAAAACACGTAAGGCCTAATACAACTATCATTGTCAAGGTCAAGTCTTTTACTTTTCCTAGATATTTAATAGTGTTACATAGAAGTAGTATTAAACAGCCAAACATTCTTTATTTCATTTTTTATTAAGATAAAGAGAAAATAATGCTGAAACTATACAATGTCAAGATACAACATATGTGTGGACCAGCTGTTATGAGAAGATAATCCCATTTGCTCCCTAAACTACTTCACAGGCATGTCTTTAAGATTAATGAGGTCATGGACCAGGTCCTTTTTAGTGGGAAAACTACTTGCTGTGGGTAATTTGGGCACTTTAGGGTACAGTAAATCCATCAGGCCTCTGGGATACCGTTACTGCACTAAAGCAAAATGGCAGACCTAAAAATTTATAGTGAGAATCAAGTTTTTAAATATTCAGAATGGTGCTTTCTGAAGCATAAAATTTATACTTGAAACACATTTTAATTTCTTCAAAAACAAACAGAAAGCTTTTAATCTGTGAGTTAAACAATTAAGCTCTTCTTTCTAACATTTAATTTTATCATTACACTAGGTACCCAAGAATAAAAAACTTAAGATGCTGTCAGTGTCCACAAGATGCTCACAATTTAGTGAGGAAAGTGTACAAATAAATAATTTAAATAAATATGATAAGATTTTTAAAAATCCCTAAGTACCTGGTACTATAGAAATACCTGGACTGGGCACCTAATTCAGAATGGGGGTGGGGACCTACATGGTGGAGGGTTGGGTGACAGAGGTGGCCTTTGGGAAGCAGTGAGGCCTGAGCAGACAGCCCCTAGAAGGATGCTGCAGTTGCCAAGAGGGCCTCGGGTCTTGGCAGAGCGTGCTAGGGGCAGAACCAACAAACGCTAAGCAAGGCAGGAATCCAAGGAAGCACAGGGTACAGCTGGAATACTCTCCAGTGCCAGGGCAGGGCAGGGGAGGAAAATGGAGGCCAGTGGGGGCAGACTGGGAAATGAGTATTTGCCTAATAAAGGAAGACCCCAACAGAATCAGGGCAAGGATATTTTCACAAATTTGATATGTGATATGAACATACTTTTCATATTTAACCTTCTTAGATTTCTAAGAGTTATTTATATGGGCTTTCTGTGTCTCTCAAAAACTTTATCATATACCTACACAAAGGCAGCTGCAAGCTATCACTAGTAAATGAGCATCAAATAAAATAATTTTCTATAATGATATTATCCCTAAAGATATTAAACAATATTGTATTACATACATTTTTAATATAAGAATAGACCTAAGAGAAATGAAGATAAGTATAAATTTATTATGCATTTCTTGAAATCAATAAAAATAAAATAATGATGTTTAAGTAAAATAAGAAAGATGAATATTAATATTATATGTGATCATCTGAATACATTTTTAAAAGGGTAATAGAGAGCTAAATATAAACACACACACACACACACACACATATAAACAAACATATTAGAAAATACTTCAAGTATGTGTTTTACAATGTTGTGCATGGCCACAGCAATCCTATATCCTACTAGCCTTACCAGGTCAGGGATGTGACAGATTTAAAAGCTATTAGAGTGAGAGGTGTTCCGCTTCCAACCACAAAGAAATCAGGAAACAGAAACACGACAAGGGCTTGGGGCTTTTCCGCAGCTACAGCTGTATTTTCCAGAGTTACTGATGAGCATCAGTCCTTCCCTCGATCCCACTGTCAACACACACAGCTGCGCCACTGCCTGCCTCTTTCCACAGCAAGGACAAGAGGGACCCCACTCTGAAGGTGCAGTGGTCACGGAAAGAGGAGACACATGGCTCCTGGTCTCCAGGCCCCTAGACTTGTGCCGAAGAAACCTAACTCCCTATGAGGCAGACAGACCAGAAGCGTTTATCTATCTCTCTCTCTGCCCCCCATTAAGCCCAACTCTACACACATGCCCCAAATTCCAAAATGGGTGTTTCAATTAAATATCAGTCACCGAGAAAAGTGAGGGTTAAAATAAAGAAATTCACTTTGTAAAATGTTTACTCTTCTGTGTGACTCTATCTTTGGGAGGATTACTTTTCTGATATGGTTGCTTTTACCAAAAAGGAAAACTTACTGTTGATGTGATCGATGTAGTAGACACCAATCTGAGGGTCAAACCCTGCTTCCCATCCCCATGGCAGCTCATCCCCAACGCAGTCAGCAAATGACAAGGGCTTCGTTAACCTGCAACAAACCAGAGTAAATGCACAGGTGATTCTTTCCATCAAATCACACATATCAAAATGCAGCACCCTGACCACAAGGACAGTGTCCAGGCTGCATTTCCTTTTGGCTCTTGATTGTTTGCAGAGGTTGCACCACTGTGTTTGAAACCTTAAAGATAAAACAATAAGAATAAAATACCGAAATGAACGTTCAAAAAAGTAGCAAGGTCATAATACCCTTTTGAAAATTCACATTTTAAGACTCGCAGGTAAATCTATACAATAAATAAATAAGGACATCTTAAATCAGGAGGAAACTACAAGTTGAAAGTAAGGAGGGCTGCGATCTAGCTCTGTAGATCTGTTTAGCTCTACAGCTAGAGAGTTATCCCGTTAAAAAGAAATATTTGTCCCAGGATTTGAATCTTGGCATCATGGAAATCATCTTATCAGTGCCTACGAGACATGATAAGCATCAGGCTACACTCACTTCAGGTTTGGATGCTGTTATACAAATGAAGTCAACGCTCGATGGGGAGGTCCACTACAAATTTTTCTTGAGAGACCAACATGGTTTTATAAGTATCTTATACATAATGGTCACTCAACAAAAATTTTAATGGAACCAAACACACAAAGTATTTCTATGTCAATGTGATCTCACCTTTTGAAACTGCCTTATTCTTTCTCTTTAAGCTTCAAAGAGGCTTAGTGGGGAAACGAGTTTCCTAAGCAGAGTATAGGTTTCAGACTTAATTACGATTTGATTTTCTCTCTCACTTCTTTTATTTTTGCTTTTGAGCTTCCCCGTGGCTGTCAGAGCAGCCACACGCAGGCTAACACGACGGATCAGCGATGCCCTGTTGTAGAGTGGCCAGCATGAGTTGGCATATCTTCTCATTTAATGCGCTGGCACCACAGGCCAGTGCCTACATGCGAAATTGCCCGGCATCCCTTCTATCCACGCAAACGAATATCAATGATCTCACAGCTCAACTGAAATACAGGTCACTTCCAGAATCACATAACGCATCAGAATAACAAATTGTGTCATCGACCCTCAGGATGCTGGGAGAACAATATGAAAAAGGAGAGAACGCTTTTCTTCCCAGGCCTAGCCTGCAACAGTCCTCCTCCAAGGGCATAAAACATCAATGGATGGAAGGAAGGAAGTGTCTCCCTTTCTCTCAACCCTCCCATAGCATGAAGTCTGCTTCTGAAGATGGCTCCAGGGACGCTGACTTTCGAAACCAGGTCAGCTGACAGAAAGAAGTACAGCCAGCTCTGCCACTGACTCGCTGTGAGGCTGCCTCACTCAGCGCCTCTCTCCTCCTCAGCTTCCTTCTCTTTTAAGTGGTGATCACACTCCCTATCCTCTCCCTGCAATTTAACTGCTTCCTAAGATTAATGGGAGGATAAAAGGGGATTAATTTAGAACACTATCTAGGACATGGTAAGTAGTCAGTAAATGTTAGTGATTATTAATACAAGCACGGCACGTGAATTGTCTCATTTACTCCCCAGAGGGACCGAGTCAGGCAGCAGAGTACAGAACAGTGGTTCTCAACCAGCGGCATCAACATCTAGGGACCAGTTAGCAATAACAAATTCTTGGGCCCCACAGTAGGCCTACAGGCTCACAAACTCTGGGGCCCAGCAAGGTACGTTTAATCAAGCTCTCCATGTAATTCTGGAGAATTTGGGAACCACTGGCTCAGACGTTAAGAGCTTGAAATTTGGGGTAAGAGACCTGGGTAAAACCCGATTCTGCCACTTACTTGCCGGACAGCCTAGGGCAGCCTTGCAACCTTAAACCCCGTTTTCCAGTCTATTTTTTAGATGGGGAATGGGGTTATGAAGTTTAAGCAGTATAATGCCTGACAAATGGTCAGCTTCAATATTGGATGAGTGAAATAAATCCCCGACGTTTTAAGCCATGTACCCAAAATTAGCAAGTTGCCATATTTACTTTGTAAACATGGAGTCAATTTGAACTTAATCTGAGTAAAAAAACAGAGCTCTTAGATGGTGCTCAAATTCCATCTTATATCATATAAACTGCCCAGGAAAGCAGAGTTTTCTTTTGACAAAGGAATTAGATACTATATCAAAAACTGCCCAACCACATGAGTGGCCCTGTCTCTATACAGTGTCTATAAGAATGATCTTTGATGAGCTCAGTAATGCTTATTAGATCAAGTCCCGGTACCAGGAAGCCTTGCACATTATTCTGTTTGGGGATTCTCTATCCCCGGCTCCTTTCTCAATGCTGTCTAAAAGGTACATGCATCCTAAAGAAATGAAGAAGAAGAAGACATGGAAATGTTAAGTTTAAATGACAAAAGAGATATTACACAAGTTTTATACTGGCACCAAACCAACGTGACCTGGTTTAAGCATGAATACGATACGAATGTATTTAATACTCTTTGATTCAGAAGTCACAAAAGCTTTCAGATCCTGAGCTATAATTACAAGTTATGGTAACTTGATTATACTTGGAAGTAATCCAGTTTTTCCCATTAATTGTTCAGCAGATAATAAGCATTTTATTAACCGTCACTGTTCTAAGGCTAGAATTAGGTCTCCATGATACACATAATTGTCAACTCAGTTAAAAATTTGGATGTTTCCATTCCTGGAAAGTTCAACATAAAAGTTTCTTTGCAGCATCACTTCAAAAATCAACTTAATACTTTATTTTCTGTATCTGGATAAATACATATCTTTTCTCCATATGCTATCAGTAAGCAAATCCATTAAATACAAATTTATAAATTTCAAAATTTTAGGATTTAATTTTTACCCAAATTACAAGCTATAAATAGAATAACGTTCTCAGGTACCAAACAAAATTACGTGCTTAGTTATGGTGCTGTCCTGGTAAAGGGAACCTATTACTATGATATACTAAGAAGTAACACAAAACAGAAAGAAAATACAGATGTATTCCAACGTTAGAAACAATATGAATTAGAACAAATACAGTGAGCAGAAATGTTGATTAGCTTCTAAATTTCTTTCTCTCGTTCTACACAGGGAATCTCTGAAATATTCAACCTTCCTTTGATGTTAAGGAAGCAAAAATGGATGGCGTGTGTTTTCTGTTGTTTCCCCACAATAGAGCAACATCGTGCAAAAGGCCTAAAATTAACAAGTCTTTATGCTAAATTCCAGGGATTACTCTTTGCTTAAAAAACAGTCTTCCTTGCACCGTGACTAATGGGAAGAAAACGGCAATTTACTGTAGCACTTTGCCAAAGTTTACATATAAAACCTGAACTTTGCGTGGTATTTCCTCTCCTTCTGGGCACTGTATCACTCTTTCACAATCTGTCATTTAGTACTTACTGTCACGTCATGGGTGTCTATCCTATGACATGAGGTTCCACACACACACACATATTTACTCTTCATAATTAGATGATGGTGAGCACTTATGTGTGTGCGTGTGTGTGTGTGTGTGCACGCGTGCGCATGCACCAATCCAGAAAAACTGAGTTTGTACTAATTGCAACTGAGTTTGTACTAATTGCACTAAATAAAGAAGCACTTAACAAGGAAAACCATTTCCAGGTTAATAAAACTCTTGCCACAATTCAAGCCTCCCAAATGCATAGTTTAGTGTGCATGCAAAAGGTCTTAACAGTTATTTTTACTTGGTAGCATCTGTTCCTGTCATTGTTTAGCTTAGCTCAAAGCCGAGTTCGCACTGTCAACTGTCTGATTACTACAGAGTCTGCCCACACAAACATTAGTCAATTGCTCTGAAAGAAGAGGGAAGAAGGAAGGATGGGATTCACAATTTAAATTTTAAACGGGGGGGGGGGACACCAGAAATCTTTCTGAGGAACTTTAATTTATAATGAGGGTGATTAGTCCCCTCAAAACAACTTCTGTTTCTATCACTGTTCTAGCCAGGGAAACCGGCAACGCAAAGGAACAAAAGAGGGGGAATAATAGGAAAGAGTGAAAGGTAGCAGCAAGAAGAGAACAGCTTTTAAGAGAAATTATACAAACCACTTGAGAGGAGGGTAACAAGGTTAGTTCTGTGTCTTTGAGGAAATTCGCTTAAATTCTTCAAAAGGAATCATATTAGATAGGAGGACTGCCGGACAGGGAAGGCCTCCGGCCGGCTGGCGCAATAGGTCAAGGAGGACTGCTGCCCAAGATTTAAATGGCTCATCCAATGTTCTGTTCTGTTCTGTAACTGCTAAGTAACATAACTGGTAGTCTAACCAGGCTCATTTCTTCAGGCTTAGTTCATGTCATCTCTGCACCTGCTCGGATGTCAAACGATTCTCTTCTATGTTGGCCCTAGGTCTGATCTTCCTATAGCTTTTACCCACTGGTCCTAGTTTTAGCCCTTGGTGCCAAAGAGAACTAGTTTAATCCCTCTTCCACGTGACGGGCTTGCAAATATTTGAACATAATGATCTTGTTTTCCATGTCTGCTCTTGTAGAACCAAATGCCCCGTTCCTCTTGCTATGTCTCATATCCTTCCTCCACTCAAAAGCCTGCCCCTCTCCCGCCCTTAACCCCACCTGTCTCTCCCGGTTTTGCAATCTCACTCCATCAACTATCAAGTATTAATCTCCTCTCATATAGCTAATTTTTTATCTCATTCATCCTACAAATATATTCAATCCAGCTACCCTAAAGTCTTTCCTCCAATCATCTGGCTCCTCTTTTGATGTTCATCTCCTAACCATTCACTCATTCTAACCTGGAGATTTTTAATCTGGATGATGTTTAGGAGGCCCTACCCATAGCTCCCTAATGCCATTTAAAACCTAATTCTTTGGTCACTTCATGAATACACTTCTGAAAGGCAATATTTGTGGATGTTTTGCCTTCAGAAGAGCACACTGGTTATGCTGTTGGTATGGGGACCCAGATATATTGTATGTTAAAAAGTCAGTTTTTACATCTAGTAATTATACTAATATTATAAAACATTTACTGAGTGCTTACCATGAACCACATGTGCATATATATATATTATTATTGCCATTTGA